AAAACCTGCACACAGATGTTTATAGCAACTTTATTCATAATTGCCCACACTTGGAAGCAACCAAGATGTCCTTCAATAGGTGAATAAACTGTGGACCATCCAGACAATGGAATAATATTATTCAGCGCGAAGGAGAAATGAGATATCAAGCCATGAAAAAGCATGGAGAAAAGTTAAATGCATATTACTAAGTGAAAGAAGCCGATCTGAAAAGGCTACCTCCTTGTACGAGTCCAACTATATCACATTCTGGAAAAGGCCAAATTATGGAGAGAGTGAAAAGATTAGGGGTTGGGTGGAGGAGAAGGTCAGGGAAGGATGAATAGGTAGAGCACAGAAGATTTTTAGGGCACTGAAAATATTCTGTATGATGTGATAATGATGAATACACATCATTATACCTTTGTCCAAACCCATAGGACATACACCGCCACAAGTGGTAAACTGGATGAATAAGTGAAGAAAACAAGATGAAGTCGGAATAGCTAAGCCGACTTAATATGGAGTCTATATCATCAAACTGACAAAACTGGTTCAGACCAAATGGGCTGAAGCATAAGGAATAGATTTTATTTTATCTTAAGTAGCCTGAGGACTTAAACTTTGAACATTTCTGTTGTTCCTGGAGAAATATATATATAAATCCTGTAAATAACCCTCTGAAGGACTTAGGAAAAAATGTTCATGTGTTCAGACTGCCTGACATCCATTATCCAGACCACCAAACGTCTGGGAAATTACCATCACAGACCAATCCAGAGGCTAAGAATGCAGGACTGATTCTTCTCAAGAATGTGATTTTTACTATAAGAATGCTCAGCTTTTCTTTCTTCTTCAGAACATCCTGGGGATTGTCGAGTTGTGTCTGTGATTTGCAAGTCCTAAGACTCTCGAATAAATCTTTGTCATTTATTTCTAACCAAAGCTTCCTGACTATTTTGTGCTCAGTGGACAATAGGGACTTTGGGTGATGATGATGTGTCAGTGTAGATTCATCAGTTGAAACAAATGTGCTACTCTGGTGGGGGTTGTTGCTAAAATGGAAGGCTGCCCATACGAGGGAGTAGGGGGTGTGAATAGGAACTCTTTGTACCTTCCTTTTAATTTTGCTGTGAACCTAAGAGTGCTGTAAAAAATAAAGTCTTAAAAATAAAAATAATGAAAAAAATTTAAAATACAGTAACATACCATTATACATCCTTTATATGAGGAAAATAATTGTTTCTGTCAGAGCCAAACAAAACAAAAAGGCAAGATGAAATACGCTACTGGTAGAAATTTTGGAAAATACAGACACTTTTAAAAAGATAACAAAAATCTATGTATAATTTCAATACTCAAATATAACTTCTGTTACCACTGTGGTGGGTTTCTTTTCTTTTTCTTTTTTTCTACGCATATGAATGTGGCCAATATGAACTGTACTACAACATCAAGATACCTTTAAAATAAGAGAAACTAAATCTAGCTCTAACCTCTAACTACTGAATTAGCCTATAACCTCCTTTTTGGAGTTTCACCTTCTCCAGGAGTGCCTAGGACTCTGGGGTTTATGTACCACACACAAAGCAGCCCTCTGGACACACGCACCTATGCGGGGAAAAGCCCAAGGCGTCCCAGACTCTGGACTGTGGCCTCTTCTGCAATTGCTCCTTACCACCACAAGGTGTCATCCTCTGTGCGTTCAAATCGAGGTCAGGCAACGGGCCCATCCTTCAGAAGTTGTCCTGTTAAGTGCTGGGGAGGAAAAATTCCACTCCCTCAGCACCAATTATTCTAGAGTCCTCTGTAGGTTTTCTAGGGATCTCATATCTTCTCCCTGTGTGCCTTTTCACACAAAAGGTTGGTTACTGGTCCCCACCTTCCCTGAGAATACGGCCTGACTGCCTCCCGGGGGTGGTGGGGGCAGCCATTCAAAACAGCTAAATGCTGTTTACCTCCCTTGGAGGAAGGGTGCCTCCCCTGTGAGTCAACGCCCCAGAAGACTTTCTGGCATTCTTTTAGTAAAAGCAATGAAAAAACAACGCACATATTACATCTTCAGCAGAGTATATGCTACGTATGAATACATTGCATATATATTTTGATACGGTTGTAAACATTACAGATATAGGTCATATCACTTTTCGTGACATATATCTTAAGCATTGTCCCATGTCATTATAAATTATTCATAAATATTATTTTTAATGGTTGAATTATTTATTCATCACATAGTTCTGTTGTAACTTTTGTAATGATTAACCTTTTAGGCACTGGTTATTTCCAATATTTTTGCTATATTGACAATTTTTGTACATACATCTTTGTATGTATTACTGATTATTTCCTTATGAGAAACTTAGTATTGAAATTACTGAATTAAAAACAAATTTAAGTCCTTTTATTCATGCTGAAAAAAGACTTCCAAGAAAGCAAGTATCTTGTATATTACCAGCAGCAAGCAATATATAGAATGCTTAGCTTACTGCATCCTTATGAAAAGTAATTAAAATAATTTTTTAAATCTGATAATGGGAAAAAGAATTTTTTTAATTTGTAGTTAATTACTGGTAGGAATAAACAGTTTTAAATTTATGTTTTCTGTTTCTATAAATTACCTATTATTAGCTGTTGCCCATTTATTTATTGGGGTCTTAATTTTTTTAAATGATTCTTGTGAACCCTTTATTTATTTAAGATACGATCTATTGTTTTTTGTATTTGTTACAAATGTTATTCGGTGTAATGCTCATTTTAAAATTTTATTAATAACATTTTAATGTTTATAAGTTTTTTAAATTTGTAATTTTTTAAGATTAAGGTTTTTTAATTGAGGTAAAATTATACACAATGAAATGCATAGATCTTAAGTGCACATGTCAAAGAGTTTTAAAAATATATATACTGGGGTGTGCATGTTTTAAATTTTTATATATTCGAATTTCTTGGTCTTCTCCAGTGATCACTGTTAAGAAGAAGTGAAAGACTTTGAAATGGACTCCCACAAGAAAGTTACTGGGCATCTTATCTAGAGTACCCTTCCATGTGACCTTTTCTTTTCTTTGATCTGTTTTAACAATCTGTATGTTTCTTACTTGTTGGTAAAATATTGTAGAAAACCTATATTAATGCAAATTATTCTTGTACATAGAAATGCAAATTAGTTGTGGCTGTTGGAATATAATTGATTATTGCTCTGTGGTCAGATACCTCTATGTAGAATTTTTTAGCATCCCTTATCTGCCCACATATATGTGTGTGTGCAGTGCGCATCTTTGAATTCTCTTGTGAACTAGTTGTAACATCTTATTGGTTCCCTGATTAGTTAGTGAGTTAAATACAATCTTTGACATGTGTTCATTTCATTTCTGCATGAGTCATGCTTATGTCCTCTTTAAGATGAATTTAAGAGCATTCTAAAATGGAAAAAAAATTTTTTTTTTTAATAAAATGAATTTAAACATCATCCATATTCAAGGCATGGGTTAATAGGCCATGGCCTGGATTCATTCTGGAAACAGTTTATTTTGAAGTTCAAACTTATTTAAAAGGACTAGGACAAGACTGACAGTTCATAATTATGAATAATCAAGAAAAGCTCGAATAGCAACATGTCTTTCCTACCTAGCCATGCCGCTGGTGATTTAGACTCCATGCCCCAAGACTGACATATATATATAATTTTTGCTAGCAAAGGCCTAATAAGCCTTTCTTTTAAAAAGAAAAAAAGAAAAAGAAAGAAAGCAAAGCTAGAGTTAGTTCTTGTGCTTAGAAAACATAAATAAATATATTCATTTATGTTTCCAAATTTCCAATAAAACAGGGTCAAGGCCATACACTGTGGTCTTTCTGTTTTTGTCTTTTTTCCACCTCAGCTTTTTTTCAAGGCCTTAAAACTTGAGGAGCCAGTGAGTGTTGGGGAGTTCCTGGAGGGCAAACACCATTTTCATCCACGACTAGTAATAAATTCTCAGTTGACTCAAAATATTTGTGAAATTAAGCAATTTCCCTAGCGATGTAAAAATTTTTATGCATATATAAGGGAATTGGGCAGGCCTCAGGGAAGAACAGGAGAGAGAACCTCCTCCAGGCTGGGAGGCCCAGGGCACTGAGGCCCAGATGTTAATGTCTCTCCTTGGTCTTTCCCATCTCCTTCCCACTCCCCAGTCAGGTGGCAGAATCCAGGACAATGGGGAAGAGGGGTGATGGCTGATGCAGCTGAGGTGGGAGCTGTTCTGGCTGGACAGGCCCCTCTGGCTAGAGAGGTGAAGACCACTTTTACCTGCCTGAGAATTGCAGAAATAAATGGCAGGGAATCCTCTGCTTGGGGAATGGCACGCTGAGTAGACTAGAGAGCTGAAAAACGGGATTCTAGGGCACCAGCAAGAACACGATTTCTGGAATAGGTGACGCCCTCGCCTGCCTCCCCTGGCTAGGAACAGGTGTATTAACCAATGGAAAGGGGATATACCTGGGAATTGTGATGCTAATGGCAGGAAAGCAGAACATCTCTTTTCCACTAACGGTGTCTGCTTCGGGTTCCTTATGTGCAGTCTGAACTGGTCCGGAATCCGGCGGCGACGGACACCATTCAGGCCCTGGCCGCCCCGGGATGAAGCGGAGGGCTGGGCAGAGGAGGATGTGCAACACGGTCCTAGCGAAGGGCTGACGCCGCCGTTAGTAGCCGGCTGCTCCACGGTAGTCGCGTGAGGCTAGGAGGTTCGCATCTGCAGATTCCTCTCTGGGGGTACAGCCCTTGATCCGCCTCTCAGTTCTGGAAAGGTGACATCTGCAATCAAGTAGCTCGGGAATTGGGTTTAGCACTTGTCACCTCTCGGAACTGGGCGTCCCGGACTCTTGAGTCCTTGGAGGGCTTACGCGGGACTACATTTCCCAGAAGGCGCCGCGGTGATTGATAACTCTATTAGCCTACGGACGAGGAGGATTTCTCGTCATGAAAAGTGAGAAGCCAATGGCAAGAGGACAGGGGCGGTATTTTCCGGCGGCTGGCTGTCGAGCTCAGAGTCCCCACCTGTGTCTCGCAGTCCTGTCACGAATCCCGGTCGGGTTTCTGGGAGGGACTGCCCCGGCGTGGCGGGCCGGGGGCAGCTCCGCGGTGGAGGACTCTCTCTTCTGCTCCATCCCCGGCTGCGCCCTGGGCGGTGAGTGATCCGGGGACGGAGACAGCGGCCGCAGCTCCGGCGCGGCTGAGGGGCGTGAAGGGCTCGCCTGCCGCCCCGACGCTGCCTCTCGGGTACCGCGCTCGCCTTTCGGAGCCCGCAGGTCTCTGCCGAAGAGTAGCTGCGGTTTTCTGTGACGTCGTGAGATACCTCAGCCTCATATCCATTTTCTTGCACCGCGGTGGCGGTCCCCGAGTCTCAGCTTAGCCTCGTGACCCTCAGACCGCCGCACCCCGATTAGGGCCTGCGGCACGGCGAGGGGGTGGGGGTGGGGGGAGAATGGGTGGCGGTCCTACCCGTGCGGTCATGTTCCTATTAATAAACCCACTGACAAGCTGGTGCTTCTCACAATGGCACTTAGTCACACCACCTAGTGCTCTAGGGCCTTTGAAGTACAGGGGGCAGGAGACAGGTGGGAAGCAGGGTTTCTGTAACCGTGGCTGACATCTGTCCCCTCACTCCCTCGTGTTTTGTAATGGATGTAGAAATTAAATTTATGCTCAAAACTTAGTACAATTTAGCAATGTCTGTAAATGGATACATGTCTCCATGAAAAGTGTCTGTATGTTCTAGTAGTTCCAGTTGCTTTGATTGGTGAGACGAAGATGTGAAACAGTAAAACTCCCTCTCCCCGGTCTGGTCCATCCTCCACTGAAATGCAGAATTCTTTGTAGCAGTTTCAGGGGCTGACTTGTGTTTGTTTCTGCTGGAAACTCTTTAGGGGAGTGAGGGGGACCGCGATGACTTACGTTTCTTTGTGACTCCCAATGCCTTACAGCATATTACTTACTGAATAAATTACTCATCCATACAGTAATCCGAGCATCTTCCCCCAAATAATTTTTTCATAATACTGCTAATTTTATTTATGTGTTAATGATTGTTTTAGGCCCCCAAGGGTTTTGTTTGTGTTTATCCCGATTGAATTTTACTTAATTACACAGTTTATCAGCCTTTTTTTTTTTTTTTTTATCCATGTCTTTTAGGTCTCAGTTTCTGACATTAAGGCTTGAAATAGAATGGTACTCAGGGCTGTTCCCTTTGGGGTTCTGCTTGGTCTGTTACTTGAGGTTGACATCAAATCTACAAGCCAAGAAAAATCAGCTGTCCTCATAAGTAATATGAGCATAATTAAGTCCACAGTGCCTAGCATGCTGAGGAAAATGTAATTGGAGAGATTTCTAAAGCTTTCCAGAAATCAGTTATACTTGCACACTCTCTCCTTTGTTTATCTTGTCTGTCATGGTCAATTCGTTCCTCAAAAAGTTGGTGTGTGCAAAGACAGGGTTCTGTTGATATGTTTGGGAGGCCTAGGACTCTTTTAGTGATGGGAAAGTTGGCCAAGGGAAGGTTTATGTAAAAACAGAATAAGAAAAGCAAATCTTCTGTGGTTGATGAAATGTACCTCAGAGCTATTCTAGTCAAGGTGTGTGTGTTTGGGTGTACTGGTGGCCTTGGTGGCTTGTCGTTTTTCAGATCATGCTGGAAATATCCAGAGAGCTATTGATACGTACTGTGGTCTCTTGCTTTAGGATCTGATGACCCCCAATGATGTGGCTGGGGACTTCAGGGAAGAGTGGGCTACCTGGACACTGCTTAAAGAATCCTCTCCAGGGATACCACCCAGCACCGTTAGAAGAATGGGCTCTCAAAGGGTAAGGATGCTTACTCAACTTTAGATTTAAGACAGATATTTTGAGAGGGCCCAGATCTGAGTGGCCTCTGAGGATGTTGGTCTCTTAGAGCTCCACGTCTCTGTGACAGTAACTAGTGCCTCCCTGGCAGAAAAAGAAGGGCTTCCATTTTTATGGCACTTTATGGTTTGCAGAGGTCTTTGATATTTACTGTCTTATTAGTATCTTACCATAACCCTTTGATGTATATATTCCCCCTTTTCCAGCTCAGGACACTGAGACTCAAAGTTAAGTGCCAGAGGTGAGAGTCCAACTTAGGTCTTTCAGAAAGACCTAAGTTGGACTCTCACCTCTGGCATTTACACACATACACATGGTGTGTGTGTGTGTGTGTATGTGTGTGTGCAGATATATATGTAAAATGTTCACATTGAAAAAAGAGACAAGCAAAATGAAAACAAAAGTCATCCATCCCACCACCGATATATAATTAAAAGCATAATATATAAGCATATACGTAAAATTAAAAACCAAGCATATATATAATTAGAAAATAAAAGGAAAAATTGGGATCATACTGTAGATACAGTTATATATTCTACTTATACATTGCATTGTGAATCTATTTTGACAATAAATATCTTTCTGCATACCATAAAATAATTAGTATTTTGTTGTATGAATACAATAATTTACATTAGATTGAACCATATATTTCACCATTTTTTACTTATAAAATGGCAGTTTCATATGACTCAAATATAATTACTCCTTTGTTGTGGGACATTTAGGTCATTTTAAAATTTTCATCAGTATTAATTCTTTTTTTTAAAGTCTATTAGTTAATAATTAGTTAATAATTAGCTAATATGTCTTTTACATGCTTTTTTTCATTTTCTTAGAATTCCTAGCATTAGAATTGCAGGGTCAAAAAATCAGTACATTTCTAAGGTATTTGATGCTTTTGCCAAATGCCTTTCAAAAAGATTGGATCAACATATTTTTTTCCCCACAAGCATTATATGAAAGTGTCCATTTCTTCATATTCTCCTATAGTAGTGGATATTATAATTTAAGAATCTGGGTTAAATAATAGGGATAGCTAACATTTATTGAGGATTTACCACTTAATCCTTACAATTCTAGGTCATCCTATTTTATAGATGAAGACACTGAGGCCCAGAGAGTTTAACTAACTTTCCTAAGATCACACAGCTAGTGAGAAGCTGGATTAGGATTCAAACTCAAGCTATAAGACTCTTGAGTTTGCACTGTTTACACCTACAACATATTGCCTAAATATATCATAGTTTTAATTTATTTGAATTTCTTTGATTAATAGTAAGGTTAAAGGTTTTTTATATATTTATAGGCTGCTTTTTTTTCCTTTTGTGAATTGCCTATTCCTGTCTTTTGTCTTTTTTCTTCTTCTTCTTCTTGTAAGTGTTAATCTTTTTCTCATGGCTGTATCAATTGCTGCTCTCCTGGGAAAATTTTAAAGCCCAATATTATAGTGAACTTCCTTGTACTGAAGGCTCTGTTTTCGATAAAATTATCTCTCCACATGGGTTTAGGTTTGTGCCTTCCGAGATGAGTTATTGTGCTTACTATCGAGTTTCTATGACCCATTTGATTTTGTGTTTGTTTGTTTTTAATGGGAGGAAAAGGCCTTTCTTCTCAGCCTCTTGGGCTGATCATCCTCTCGTATCACTTCGCCATGGCTGCCCTTTTAATGAGACCAAACACACATTAGAGTCTCCCTGGGTGTTCTCTTCTACCTAGGGAAGGAGAGGGCTTAGATTTTGGCCCGGCCTTGTGTGATTATCTCAGATTAACATCCTACGTTCGTCTTCCTGTGTAGGATTACTAAACCAAAGGTACTCTCCCAGCTGGAGCAGAAAGAAGAGCCATGGATCCTACCACTCCAAAATTTTGAGGCGAGGAAGATCCTAAGGGAAAGTCACACAGGTGAGATGTGAGCGTTCCCTGGTGGGAGAAGAATTCGGAATGCTGCCCTAGAGTTTTGTTCTTACTATTAGAAGTTTAAATTTGACTTCTTGGGCAGTCGGGAATTGACCAATTAAAGTCTCTTTCTAAGTAAGCATTTCACTTTTGTTTTGAATATAACAGGAGTTGTCCACTTTTGTTTTGAATATGACAGGAGTTGTCCAATTTTGACAAGATGTAGCATACTCTTGAGGGAATTAAAGGTCACCTCGAGATTCATCTGGCCATCTTAAAGTACAAAGGGTTTAGGAATTCACGTTTTCCGTAATCTCAATGACTCTCAATAAACTTTTCAGAAATTGAAAACCAAAGTAGTGAAATTAAGCATAGTCTGTTGCAAAAACACTAATTTTGATCTTTGTTGTTGCTTTCTGATGTTCATTCCCGATAAGCGATAGCTTTATTCTTTGTTACTTCTGTTAATTTTTCAGACTTTGAAAATCAAGTGGAAAAACCCAAGCCAGACATTTCTGAAACAGCAGAGCAATGTGGAATGTCCTTAGAAAGGGCCGGTAATGATATTTCTCATACTCCTAGTTGGGGAGGAAGCTGGGAGAGGGGCCTTGAATTAGAAGGAGAACATGGAACCCTTCCAGCAGAGGGCAGTCAGGAGCCTTTTTCACAGGACAAGGATTTAAGCGAGCTCCTGAATGGTTATGTAGGAAAGAAACCTGTGTGTGCAGAATGTGGAAAAAGCTTTAACCAGAGTTCCTATCTCATGAGACACCTAAGAACCCATACTGGTGAGCGGCCTTATAAATGCATTGAGTGTGGGAAAAGCTTCAAACAGAGTTCAGACCTTGTCACCCATCGCAGAACACACACGGGAGAGAAGCCCTACCAATGCAGTGGATGTGAGAAAAAATTCAGCGACAGCTCAACGCTCATCAAACACCAGAGGACTCACACGGGCGAGAGACCTTACGAGTGCCCAGAGTGTGGGAAGACTTTTGGGCGGAAGCCACACCTCATAATGCACCAAAGAACCCACACAGGAGAGAAGCCGTACACGTGCCTCGAGTGTCATAAAAGCTTTAGTCGAAGCTCAAATTTCATCACTCACCAGAGGACCCACACAGGAGTGAAGCCTTACAGGTGTAATGACTGTGGGGACAGCTTTAGCCAGAGCTCAGATTTGATTAAGCACCAACGAACCCACACAGGAGAACGGCCCTTTAAATGCCCAGAGTGTGGGAAGGGCTTTAGAGACAGTTCTCATTTTGTAGCTCATATGAGTACTCACTCAGGAGAAAGGCCTTTCAGTTGTCCTTATTGCCACAAAACTTTCAGTCAGAGCTCCCATCTGGTCACGCACCAGAGAACACACACAGGCGAGAGGCCTTTTAAGTGCGATACCTGTGGGAAGGGCTTCGCCGACAGCTCTGCCCTCATTAAGCACCAACGGATCCACACGGGAGAAAGACCCTATAAATGTGGCGAGTGTGGGAAGAGCTTCAATCAGAGCTCGCACTTCATGACCCATCAACGAATCCACTTAGGAGACAGACCCTACCGATGTCCTGAATGTGGCAAAACCTTTAATCAGCGCTCCCATTTCCTGACACACCAGAGAACACACACAGGAGAAAAACCTTTTCATTGTAGTAAATGTGACAAGAGCTTCCGTCAGAAAGCACATCTTCTATGCCATCAAAACACTCATTTGGTTTAGGAAATAATTGTTAGTGGTTCTGCTGCTGCTCCCTTCCAAATTTCCATTGCTACTGTGTTTAAAATGTCCTAAACAGGGAAAACCTGAACTTAGGCGTCAGTGGATCAGGTTGGGCCCTAATCTGTTCTCTTTCTTTCTTTTTTTTTTCCCCGTATTTTATTTTTATTTTTTTAACACCTATAGCACTTGGTCTTCCTAGGTGGTCTCCCATCCAAATACTAACCAGGTCCAACCCTGCTTAGCTTCCGAGATCAGACGAGATCAGGCACGTTCAGGGTGGCATGGCTGTCGATGATAGTGAAGATAAACCTATAGGATCCAAATAATGTTCTGAACACAAAAGGCATTCTTTTGGTGTTTTTGACTGACTCTTAGACAGGGAAATATGAGTTAATGCCTGGTTATTAAAAAAGAAGTGAGATAAATGTGACCTAGAGATCTCATCTAAGCCAATTAGTACAGTGCCTGGCACAAAGTAGGTGCTCAGTAACTAAATGATCACATTATCGCTATAATGATTAATATTTGACATCTTATATACAGCCCTCAATATAGTGCCTAGCCCTTAAAAGACAATACCAGGTTGGCTGTTTATATCGACTTATTACTCAGTAAGGAATTTATTAGTGCAGACCTGCAAGCCCAGGATTTGCAAGAAATTAGGTTGGCAATAGAAGATTTGGGTGTAAATACACAGATTTAATAAACAGAAAATAGTCTCCCAAACCAGTGCTATGCAGGCATTAGTCACCAGATGTCTCATTGCCATGACAAGGCAGAATTACCGTAGAGGATGTTTGCGGTCTTGTGACTTAGAGGCTGAAAGAATTTCAGAAGCCTTTTGTACAGCAGTGTCTGAGGTATTCCCGTTGGAAGTTGTTGCCATCTGAGGCATAAGAAATATCCGGTGACAAACAAGCCAGAGGGACCTGGAAGAGGACTGTAACATTGTGGAATCAAAATTCCTGAGAAGGTTAAGTGATATTACAGGGATCCTTCCTGGCATTCGGCTAAAGGAAACGACTCTTGTTTTTTAATTGCTGGGCCATTGGCTCTTTAGTTTTAAGTAATGCAACCCTCTGATCCTTTTAGGGTCATTCAGTCTATGCACTAGTACATTCCTATGTTTAATTGAAACACACTGAAGGAGGTCGTTTAGAAAGAACACTTCCCCACACTGGGAAGATGAGGTGTTAGAGTACTGGTCCTGATGCTTACTTTGGCCAGACTTCCACCTTCTTTCAGGCCCTACCCCACCTACCAGACAAGGTTGTGAGGATCTAACACACACACACACACACGCGCGCACGCACACGTGCGCACACACGGGCACACACGGACATAAGCACTTTGTTGTTAAACTATGAAGTGTAATATCTCTAAAGTTTAAAGTTATATAGTATTGTTGCTAATATCTTTTTTCCAAGGAACTCTGGTTAATATTTCTTCAGACGGCCCATTTTCTCTCATAATGAGGGACTTCTTTTTTTACCTGTTGAAGACCTAAGGCCTGAAAATGCCAAACGATTCATATAGGTCACATAGTTCACAGAAGAGCCAGAATTTGGCCACAGGTCTTCTCTTCAGCAACATGGAACAGACCAACTCTGGGATTTGTTAGCGTCTCTGAGACACTATACGACTGGAGAACCCATCTTATACCCATCAAACCACTCTGAATATGGACATGATGGAGGGATGTAGCCTAAGTTCCCGGGAGCTTTCCAGGATCCTGGCCTGGGGGTCCTTGATCCTCAAGGAATAAGAGTGGACAGGTAAGGGCAGACTCAAGGGGTTAAGGAGGGCGTTGGGTGTTTAATACTCTAGGGAGAAAAGTGCTTGCCTGAAAGTTTTTTCTTTCAAGCCTTCCTGTGTTAATACAGACTAAATTATTACATCAGCCTTGGAACACTGGTGCATTCTTTTCCATTATATGGAATACCGCTGAGTGCTTTAACTCATGAGGAACATAACTCAGCTGATAACCTGAGTTCTTTCTTAGGGTAATTAGATAACTGACCAGGAAAAAAAAATCTGGTTAATCCAGTGCAGTGGTTCTCAGAATGTGAGCCCAGACGAGTAGCATTAGAATCTGGAAGCTTTTTAGAAATGCAAATTATGAGTCCCCACCCCAGATTTACTGAATCAGGAACTCTAGAGGTAATATATGTGAGCTCCAGGAGTAACAGCTCTCCAGAGTGGAAGTGTTTTGGCCAAAGGTGGGATATGGAATGAGACAGCATGGGGTTGAGTAGGATATTTCTCAGAAGAGACATTCTGAGAATTTTGCACTGGATTAATGTAAAATGTCCGGAAAGCATGTCCCACAAGAGGGAGGCAATTAGAGGACATAGAGGGACACAAAAGCCACATTATTAGCACAAGCAGGCATAATCATAAACCCAGCTAGGAATGTGATGTGTGTTCCTTGTCTGTGAGTGACCCTAGATTTAGGAGGCAGGATGTGACAGCAGCACGGAACCGGAGGTTGGAAGACCCAGCTTCTAGTTTCGGTGTAGTTATTCACTAGCCAGTTGATCGCTCTAGGCATTGGTCTATCTGTTAAATCAGAAAAGGATTGTTCTATTTCAAACACTTTGCAAATTTAGGGCTCCCACAGACCCCAGAACCGTCCTGTGATGTTAGCAGACTCTTCCACATGTGCACCTTCATGCTCCAGGAGGATAAAATCAGGCAGTCTGCTCTCTCCATCTGGCTCTCTGTCTCCCACTCCTCAGCCCTGCCCCAGGTTCTTGGAGGAGAGGTGAAACCTCATAGCTTTTGGCAGAGTCAGCACAGTTACCTCCAAAGTAAAGACTTCCCCCCACCGCCCAGCGCTCCCCATCCCAACTTCCTGACAGTATTTAACACACAGGTCACTGGCTTGTAACATAAAGTGAGTTTTTTTCTATTACCTTGATTTTCATGTTGCATACCTACAGATGTGTCTATTCTGTAAGACGTGAGCTCTTCAGGGGCAATGTGTGACTTGCTCTGTGGCTTTGCTACCTCCCTCCCACCCCCCAGCCATGAGCTGGGAATACTTAAATGGTATTGGTGAGAGTGGAAGTAACTGACACGCCATATTTTCTCTTCGTTTCTACCCTGTAACTGGGCCATTGGCTTCTTGCACATGCTCCGCACCTCCTCCTCACTTCCTCACTTCAAAATTCACATCATCACCAAGCCCTGTCAATTTTACCTCTCAGATTCCTCTGAGACCTATCAGTCTCTCCATCTCACTGCCACTCCCTAGTTCCAAATGACCACCATCTCTTACATGAATTCCTGCAGTAACCTCCCAACTGATAGCCCAGATTTTATTTTTGCTCTATTTTCTTTTGACAGAAGCCAGAGTGATCTTTAAAAATCCTGAATGTAATCACATCACCCATGTGCTTAAACCCAGCAAGTCCCATTGCTTTTAAGATAATGACCCAAATCTTTTTAACCAGGCCTACAAGGCCCCCCTCAATTTTGCCCACACAGCACTCTAGCCTCTGTTGATAACGCCTTTTCTCTCACTCCCTGTGCTTTGACCCACTTGCGTTCCTTCTGTTCCTTGATCACATTGGGGCGTTGCACGCCTTAGAGCTAACTGTTCCCTCTGCCCAGAACGTTCCTCATCCAGGCTGTTGCTGAGGCTTCTATTTTTCAACCAGGTTTCAGCCTAAAACTCTCCTCTTTACAGAGACTTCCCCTGACTATCCCATCTCAGTCAGTCCTCCTCCCCCAACAGTCCTCCTCCCCCAACTGTCCCATTATCCTCTTTTATTTTCATCAAAGTCCTTATACCGGTCTCATATTTTCTTGTTTACGTATTGACTTTAGTAAATTCTGTGATTAGGAGGGAGCCATTTCTCTTGTTTACCATTCTTTCCCTGGCACCTAAAATAGTGCCTGGCACTTAGCAGGTGCTCAGAAAAGTTCATTGGATGAATTAATGAGTGCATGCTCACAGAGAAGAAACTCATGCTGGAAAAGTAGCAGTGTGAATGAAGCCAGACAGGTGAATGAGGGTCATGCCAAGAAGGCCCGTAGTTGCCAAACTGAGGAGTTTGGATATTATTCTCTGGGGAAGTGGGTGTTGCTAATGGTTTTCCAGTAGAGGAGAGGCGTGATCAGCACTTGAAGAAGTTTGATTTGGCAACAAGTTATGCGTAAGTCATATTACAGAGAGAAAAACCAAAGGCATTGGAACGATCCATAATACAAAGTGCTTAGCACAATATCTGGCCCATAGTCAGTCTCCAATAAGTGATCATTATCACCAAGTCCCATGGCAGCACTAGGAGGTGCTAGAACAATAAGGCAAGATCATTAAACTTTTCTATCTCAAAATAATTCTTCCTAGAGCCTATTGTCACATTCCTTCCCTTCCTCTTTTTGTCAAACTTCCACCACTGTGTAGTTATTCTCAGACTTCTCATGTCTAGACCCTTGTAATAACAAGAACTTCACTCACAAAAGTCTCTTCATTTCCACATCTGAGGGCCTCTTGTGAGTCTTCTTCCCATTCGACAACCATTTACTTTTTCGATACCACTTACAATGCTTCTTTTTGCAATTCTCTTCTTTCTTAGTAAATGTAAGATGGTTCTGCTACATTCCTGGCTACTCTTTGTAAAGGACCTTCTCTGGCCCCACCCCCAACATTCTGACCCTTGACCCTTTTCCTTTCTTTTTTCTTTCCTGTTCTGCACACTCATCTTGGGACTTCAATCATCATCTCTTAGAACATGGGTCTAGCTCAACCTCTCTCCTGGATTTTATACCTACAAGTCCAGCTGCATTGCAGAACCCTCCCCAAGGATGACTTGTTGCTTCCCAAGCCCAGAATCTCCAAATTAGAGTCAGCATCTGCTCCCTAAAGCATCCCTCCTGACGTCTCTCTTTCTGCAAATGACTCCAGCAATCTCTTACGTGCCCTTACCAGAAGTCTCCTGAGAGTTCTCTTTCTCCATTGTTCCCTATATTCCCAGTCATGTAGCCTCTGCCTCTGCACTCTCTCTCTCTTTTTAAGGTGTAAAAGCAACATGTGCTTTCTGTTAAAAAAAAAAAAAAATACAGAAGTGCCCATAGTGAAAAAATGGAAACGCCTATCTCTTCCTCATTCCCCATTCCACTCTCACTCCCCAGATCTAGCTCTGAAACCCCATGGCTTGCCAAGTCTGGCTGAGCTCCTCTCTTTCATCCCCTCCCCGGGCCCCGCCCCGCGCCCCCCCAGCGCCCACTGCCATCCTCTGAACTGAAAGGATAGTTTTCCATCTGGTCTCCTTGACGTTTACTTTTCATTCAACTCAGTGAACATTTATTGAGTGTCTCCTACACACCAAGTGTAGACCCTGGAGGTAGAAAGACACTAGACCCTGGAGGTAGAAAGACAAATAAGACAGTGAAAGATGTCCACATTTAAGAGCTGTTGGGCTTTGGGCAAGTTACTTAACTCTCTCTGACTCTTATTTCTTTATCTATAAAATAAGAATAATCCCAGTACCTTCTTCATGTGGTTGAGTGAGGATTAATGAGATGATGCATATCAAGCTTTGTACAGTACCTGATATGTTGTATCTGCTCCATAAATGTCAATGACAACAATGATAATGATAATCTGGGTCTTGGAAGAGTTTTGAAGAATAAGATTATCTACATGAAGAAAGATGGGAAAATATTTTTGGAAAAGGGGAGACAAGCAGTTTAACTGAAAGTAAAAGATTGAGGTAAAGAGTTGGGAGAACTTAGACTTTGTCCTCTACGATTACTTCTCAAAGTGTGAGCCAAGGAACACCTGCATTTGAAATGCTTGTTCAAAGTGTAGATTTATTGGCCCCACCTCTGACCAAGTTGGTAAAGTCACATGTGGCAAAAGATGCCTCGGGGAAAATGAACAAACTTCAGTTACATGCATTAACATGGATAAGCCTCAAAAAACTTAGTGCAGAAAATAAGATGCAGAAAAATACATATAGTAACGGTCAAAATGCAATAAAGGTAAAAATAGGCAAGCCTAAACACTATATTGCTTGAGCAATATGAACTCATGTATAAACTATAATGATAACAAAGGATTTGTCAAATTCAGGGTAGAGGTTAATTGAAATGGTGAAGAAGAATGCTAACTTTCTATTTCTTAATCTGGGTGTAGAGCACACAGGGTTTTAAAAAATTATTATTCTTTAATGTGCGTTATTTATATATATTTTATTTACAAGATATTTCCCAAGGGAAAAAAGTAAAAAAAGTAAATAGGGAAACAAAATGCCACTCTCCCAGAGACTGGCCTTTTCCACTTAAATCTCCAAAAGTTGAGTTGTACCAAGAAAAACAAAAAACAGTCCAAGTACTTGGGCCTGAACAGACTGCGGGCCAGTCCCTTCCATTCTCAATCACACACTTGCACTTTCTCTTTTTTCCTTCAGCTAAAAAAGCCTCTCTTTATGTAGTATGGGTAAATGCCCAGAAGATTTTAGGCCCATACTTCTATAATCAGACAGACTTGGCCCTCTAGTCTGAATGCAAGACAATGCTCTTGTGAGCACCTTTTTATTTTCCCTTCCTGAAAAAAAAAAAATGTTTCCACCATTTAGATTATTTCCACAGGGTGTGAACATTTTTACAGCTCTCATTACTTGCTGCCAAATCATTTTCTGAGCGAATTATACCAATGTACAATGTTACTAGCAATAAATGACTACCAGTCTCACCACACCCTCATCCTTGAAAAACAGTTTTGCTAGTTTAAACGGTAGGTTTCTTACATATTGTTTTCATTTGCATTTCTTTGATTAGCAATGAAGTTGAACATTTTTTCACATGTTAGTTTTTTCTTGTATTTTTTCTGTTGTTTGTAAACTTAAGAGTATAGGTTCAGAATCGAAAAACTTGACCATTTGGCTTTGAGGAAGTCACTTTATTTCCTGCTCCTTACTTTATTTCTCCCTCACTACTTTTTTTACTTTTTTACTTCATAAGTAATACATGTTCATTTTAGAAATATCAGAAAGTACAACTAAACAAACAAAAAAAGGAAAATCATCTATTGATTTTCAGTCCAAGTACTGAAAAGGATATACAATAAACAGGGTGGTTATCTTCCAGAGATAACCACCCTGTTTATTGTATATCCTTTTAAATATTTTCTCTAACAAAAATCTAAATATATCACCTAACCTGAGCCTGTTTCCTCATCTATAAAAAAATGAGAATACTTGTCTCTCAAGTTGATAATTAAAAGAGTTGGTATATATGAAATTGATTTATAAAGTGTAAGATGTTATATAAACGTAAGTTGCTGTTCTCATGACATAAAACGCCCTTTACTCTGCTAAACAGAATGCTGACGCCTGTTCCCTGAACACAGGCTGCCCTCTCCGGTACAGTTTCTTCTCTCTGGAATGACTTCCTGCCTCAATTCTTCCTACAGAATGGGTAGCCACTCTATTTTTTAAAAATTCAATATGCAAGATATGCAGAAGGGATAGAGGGTAGTGCAAAGAATAATCATGTACCTACCACACAGCTTAAGAAGTAAAATTTTGTCAACTAAAAGAAATTATTTTTACTGATATACTTGATTCTTATGAACCCTTCCCCAATTACAGCCCCTTTCCCGACTCATATTCCAATCTCCTGAATTTGGTATTTCTCACTCCTATGACTTTAGACTTATTTATGCTTTCTCTCTATATATATTTATATAGAGATATTGATATAGATTCCCAAAGCAATGTATACTACTGATTTGCATAAACTCATTTAAACTGTATACGAATGGGTGTCAAGGTAAGTATTCTATACTTTCCCCCCCTCAATATTATGTTGGTGAGAGTCAACTGTGTTGGTACATGTAGATGTACTTCATTCATTTCCTTGCTTTAATATTCAGTATATAGTCACACTGCAATTTATCTGTTTTTTCCTGATAATGGCCTTTTAGATTATTTCTGGTTTTTGCTGTCGTAGGCATTTCTGTGATCAACACTTTGGTTTGTCTCCCTGTGTCATGTATAGGGGTTTCTCTAGGAATGGAATTCTGAGGCCATAGATTAAGGGCATCTTTAACTAGATATTGCGTAATTATTTTCCCAAGTAGTTGCACTAATTTCCATCCTCATCAGTAGTGTATAAATATTCCTCTCATTAGTCTTCCTTGTCGACTCTTAGTTTTGTCAGACTTCTGATTGGTTCGAATGACGTTGCATTGTGGTTTTAATATGCATCTCTCTGATTAGCAGGGAAGTTGAACAACCATTACAAGTTTATTGTTAGTTCATGTTACCTCTTCATGGAATTCTGTTTATAAAATACTCATTCTTGAAGGCCTCTTTAAAACACTCCCTCTCCATGAAATATTTCCAGATCTCCTCCATCAAATAGATGCAATCTTCTTTGGATCTCTATAACCCTTTCTACATATTAAATTATACTTTTTATTTCATCTTGTAGTTATTTGTGTGCTTCTCTAAAGGGCAGGGACTATGTTTAACTCAACTTTATGCCCTTATTAGTACCTAATGCAAAGCAAACTTTTCATAAGTCTTTGTTGAATCAAATCATAGCCCTTCCCTGCTTATAAATTTTAAAATAAGAAACCTATTGTCTACAGAAGAGAGTTGAATCTCCTTAATGCAGAATTTAAGACTCTTACATGAACTCTGGCATCAACTTTCCTTTCCTCTCTCTTCTCCTGGTATGACCCTGCCTTCTGCCCAGATACTAGATTCTTTGTCCACAATGAGGTCCCAGTCTGTAAATGGTTGGCTTTTCTCCCTGCAGCCAGGATGGCAGGTCGTTCCCACCTGTTTTAGCTGCCTATCAGATTCTTTAAGAGACATTCTTAGAATCCTAAAGCCAGAGCTTGCTTTTATTAGTGAGCAGGGCTTTTGCTCTGAACCTGTCATTTGCATACTAAGTATAGGTTAGCTATCATTACTGGTAACCCATTGTCATCTGTAGATGTTTAAATGCATGCCGTGAGGGGACCCTGCCCAAGCACGCTTGTGTCAGGATCCAGTCCTGTGAAGGAGTCTGGTATTCTTTTCTCCCATCTGGTCTCTCTTTTCTACATACTTTGATCTGGCTCATGGTTCCTAAGTATGCCCCTTGATGTCCTTCTATTTTTCCTTTATCTTTAGCCTTGAGTCTGCAATAGTGTAGTGCCTTGTGGCCTATTCTAACCCCAGCCCAGAAACCAATTCCCCAACTCCATTCTGGTCTCTGTTGTCAGTTGTCTCTGGATCAGGACACAGGTGTTCGTAAATGTTTGTTGAAGGGTTTCCAGAGGCAATCTGGCATGTGAGGAAGTGAATGAACACCTCAGTGACAGGCTGTCTGTAAACTGTGGTGTTGAATAGTGATATGCCAGAGACTGTAGAATCAGAAAGACGTAGGCTTGATTCCTAACTCCAAATCTTATGACCTTGAGCAAACTCTCTCACCTCTCTTTGCCTGTTTCCTCACTTGTAATATGGGGATAACTTTGTCTTCCTTATAGGGTTATAGTGAGAATTAAATGAGACAATTCATATAGAGCATTTAGCACATTCTATAACATGGTGAGCAGTCGATAAATGGCTCCAATTATAAACAGATAGTTAAAAACTTTCGCTCTGTTCTGAAAATCCACAAGGTTGAAGATGTATTTAAAGTTATAATACCTGGCAGGGGCTATACTCAGACACAAGGTCCACAATATCCGAACACTCGAAGTACATGACAAAATAGGTTTTTTTCAAATGAAGACGTGAAGGAGAGTTAAATAGTGATAGGTAACACTTAAAGTTTACTGAAAATGAAGACTGGTTCTTAACAGAGACCCACTGGATGGTATTCTATAATTAGCTATATGTTGTCCCCTTTGTTCTATCTCTAGCCTGAGTTTACCCAAGTTGTTCAGTCTACAGGAAGACAGAGAAATGAGGTCAGAGATTGCATAGATCAAACGAAGTACTCATTTTATTATTGTACATCTACTCAAAGGACTCACTGAATGTGTGGAGTCAGTCCTGTCAGAGAGGAGCCCGGTGCCGGCAAGTAATGGTGCTTTTGTGCAAAATTTTATCATCAGTGTTTCTGGCAACACTACCTGGGGGCCACCTCATTCCCATACACCCAAATGTCCTTGGACATATGAATTTGTTTTCTAGTGAAGTCTGGGCAAGCCTGGCTAGATTCTTTGCTCAAGTCTTATAAGGTGAAAGTCAAAATGTTCCACTGGGTTAGGTTCTTATCTTGAGGATTTGGCAATAATCCCCTTGCAAGCTCACTTGGGTTGGTCGTTGACAGAATCACATTCCTTGCTGTTGTGGATGGGAGGTCCCTGTTTCCCTGTTGGCTATTAGCCGCGGGGGCAGGGGCACTCTCAGATCATCAGGGCTGCTCTCAGGTTCTTTCCACATGGCCCCCTCCATCTTTAAAACCAGCAATGGCCCATTGAATCCTTCCTGTGTTTTGAGTCTCTTTGACTTGTGCTAGGAGCTGGAGAAAACTCTGTTTTTAAAGGGCTCATGGGATTACCTGACCTATCTTAAGGTTAGCTGATTAGCGTTTGACTGAACAGCCAAGGATTGGGAATTTTGGGCAGCCATCCCAGAATTGTGCCTGTCATAGCATAGCTACAGTCTCCTGAAAAGCTAATCCGTGAAGTCCTTAACATCTGATCTTCATTAGTGTTGAGAAGATACAGCCTCAGATTTTCCAGCCTCTTTTACAAGACGCTGGTATCCAAAATTCTCTATATTCTGATACAAGACAAGGGACCAAGTCAGTCAAAAGTGTTACCATCTGTTCTATGGAATCCATCCTTCTGGAAAATTTTTACATAAACTGTATAAAAAACAGATTTTAAAATTCCAACAAAAAGGATGCTACATTTGTTAACTATTCACACTGAGTTTATTTATCCAAATTTCTGGCTTTGAGGAGTTAATTATCTATCTGGGAAGATGGACAGATAACTAATTATTATTCAGTGAGCTAAGTGCTATAATAGAACCATATAAGGTCACACACTTCCTGGAATTCAAGACACCTTTGATTGTGGGATGCACCATCAAATTCTAACAGCCTTTTGGGACATTAAGAATATCCTATCAAATGCATATGTTTTAAAAGACTTCATCAACAATAGCAGACATTTACAACTGGAATGACAAAATCAACGTTAGAGTCAAGCTTCTTATAAAGAGTCTAATTCTATTTGAATCTACTCAGCCATTCCTAAAATGTGGACTCTGTCATCAATTCTAGCTCTGAAAGTTCTTTGACCTTTTCTCAGAATTTAAATTCACACATGTGCAAGCAGTGACAGTTGTTATTTTTCCATGAAATTTTCTCGCTACCTGGTGTCTAACTAGTTTCTTTTAACACTGATTGTAAGACCTAACCTGATTTCATAAGTATTACAAAAACCTTGGGACTTATTTTTGAAGACATATGGTTTTTAAAGTGCTACTGGGAAATGAATGAGGAAGTGATTAATTTAGCCTGGGGAGGAGGTGCTCTTTGAATTGGATCTGGGAAGTTGAATAGGAATTTCCCAGGCAGATAAGAGGCTAAATGGTATTCCAGGCCCAGAAAAATCTCTATTATAGTGCTTATCTGAAGCTATCCTGTTAATATTGCTCCATTCCCAGGAGTCTATCAATTCTCGAGGTCATGAACCAATTTTATCTCTCAAAATTATTTTGCCCTTTAATTTTTATTTATTCATTTTATATTTACCAACTCTGTTACTGACAAAATAGCATTTTGTGTAGCTGATATTAAAAAACTTGGTAAATATGAAGACATAAATAAACAAATCCCACACAAATCCACTGTAAATCCATCACCTGGAAAAAACACTGTTAATATATTGGTATATATGCTTCAAGGCTTTTTTGTATTCATATGCATATCGTATCTATCTATATACTTTTAGAGCAAAAATGTTATTTTCACTTAACCATCATATTAGAAATACTGATCATTGTTTGCCTACCCAGCCTACCACTGAAGCAAATAATGCCCAGCTCAGTTTTAACTGGCCATTTCTCCTGACCACAGCTAGTTGAACTAAAGGAATGGTATCTGATCCAAGTCAGAGACATACCCATGGGCTGAAAAGATGAGCTGGGCTAATCATATGCCACTGGATTATGGAACTGGGCAACTGAGATTATCTTCAATGGAGCTGATGGTTTAAGGATGCCATGGCCTTGAGTTAAGGCCATGGCAAGCCAAATGAAAGCCAGAGTAGTGAGGGAACAGAAAAAATTAGAATGGAGGAAGCTGGTTGTCAAAGAGAGGAGGGTAGAGCAGACTCATAGAGAAGCAGAAATGCACAGAGGGAAAAACAAATCCCATGCCTTCACTCTTCCATTAGTCCCGTTTTTTGTTGCCCCAGTTCTAGTCCCTATGTATCTTTATTATAACTGCCCTCTTTCTGGCCTTTTTTCCTTGAGAGGTAAACAAATGGGCCTCTATTCCTTGTAGCCAGTCAAACCTGACCAGAACCACACATTGTCACTTGTAAGGCTGTATATCAATCCGTTGTGTGGAGGTGCTGTCAGTGATCTAAAAACCCAGTGATGGGCATTTAAGACATTTCCAAGGAGCATCTTCATCACTAATTTTTGTGCTGTAAAAAAAAAAAATTTGTTATGATCTATTCCAACAGGAGAAATCCCTTGTTTGAAGGAGAGCTGCATAATACCAGGTTGGACTTCTGAAAGATTGTGTCAATTTACAGCCAATGACAGGGCATGACAGTGGTTCCTTTTTCAGCCCTTTGCCAATATATCAATTAAAACAAAACAAAACAAAAGAACAGAAACGTTGTTACTCTGACAGGCAAGAACTGGTAAGTGGCCAGTTATGATCTTAATGTGCATTTCTCTGAAGTTTGTGTTTATTGACCATACATGTGAACTTTGTCATCAGGCAGCCCTGGGTTTGAGTTTCCGCTCTGCCTCTTGCTGTGCTGTGTGACTTCATTTGAATTCATTGGTTCTCCATTTTCTTATCTGTAAATTGGAGATAATAATTGTTCTTACTTTGTAGATTATGAGGCTCAGATAAGTAAATGCAAAACATTTAGTCCAGTAAAACCTCAGTACATTTGTTACTATAGTTATGAAGAATGATTTAATTTGTTACCAACAGATAAAGCTGAGATATCTGAAACTCAATGGGATGTCGATTTAATACATGTTAGAAGTGTATGGTTCTAGGAAGAGGAAAGAGCAAAAGGCCATTAGATTCATAACCTTTATCATTGGAGAGAAAATATATTTACATATTTGGATATGTACTCATTACAAAAGTTTTTAGAATTGTAATAAAAACATATGTGCATATCTTAAAAGCCAAGAAATATAAAATAAAATCAAAAGATAAACTGGGTATATAGGACTTGCAGATTTCTAAGCGTAGTATTGATTGAGACAATGAGTTTTGAAGTCTGTGACATAATATAAAAAGGGCTCCAAATGACACTTGGAACAGTGAGAAGAATGGCTCTGAAAGTCTGCAGCTCTGGGACTTATGTCTGATAGAAACCACTGATCAAAAACAATCTTAGTTAACTAGGTTGGAAACTGTCTTTCTTAGCATCTCTGTGTCTTTCAACTCAGAGAAGCTTTAGAATTGAGTACAGGAAGGCTTGATGGGGTCAGAATTATGGGATTAATATGTTGGTTTTATGAAGAAATATGTGCATATTTCACATTTTATGCACTTGCAATATTTAAGAAAACGGAGTTTCTTAGAGTGACAGCCTTATAACTATTATTTTAAATGCATATTTAAGTTAATTTTAGGCTCAAGATTTTGAGTTGAAATCTTAGTGTACACAAAGAACTGGGCCATCTAAGAGAACTTTAGATTCATTATATTTTTAAGTTTATCTGAGTTGTAAGGATTACTAAGCCTTGAAAAGGTTTTAGGTCAGACAATTGAGGAATTTCAAAGAAAATCTATTAAGTTTATAGACATGATTTTAAATGTTTGAAGATGTTGGATTAACTAAGCTTGTGAATGGGATCAAAAATTATTAAAAGTTTCTGAAAACCGATTGGTAGAATATGTTAGACCTGACTGAGCACTTCTGTTAACAGAGAATGTAGCAGGAATAAGGTCAGCGTCCAACGCGGTAAACTTGAAGTCTGCGGGATTCACAGGTGAAAATGTCTATTACACAGCCGAAAATACTGAGTTGGGGCTTCTGGAGGAGCTAGCCTGGTCTGGAGATACATAGATTTAGGGCTCTTCAGTAGTTTAAGGTGAGCGTGGATAAAGTTACTCAAAAAGAGTGGACAAAGAAAAAACGTTAGAGGGCTGAGGACATTTTTCCATCAAATTTTTTATGGGCAGTGCACAAGGTGCAAGGGGAAGAGCCATACCTAAAAGGGGAGGAGTCCCCTAAAAAGAAGAATTTGCAAAGATCAGTGGCAGGGTATCTAAAGGAAGGAAGTTTGGACAAACACAGTTCTCTTGCTTTAGCATCCACTTCTCAAATACTAGGGGTGTTGAGCAGTTCAAATCTGGCGACTGCTGGTGTATCCAGCAGAGAACTGAGGCCAGACTGCCAGAGTCTGCAGTCCCTTAGGGCAGTTTGGGTCCTGCTTGTGTCTCAGAGGAACACCATGGGCCGCTTCAAAGAACGCCGTCTTTGAGCCCTTTGGTGCAGGCAGGGGAAGGGAGAGAGTCTATGGCTTTTATTTCCAGCCACGGACTGTGGCAGCCTTTTGGTTCGAGGTGCGGATGAGACAGCGGCCGGGGACATTAAGATTTCAGGGCGGGGACCGGCCTTCGGCGCGGAGCAGAGCTATATATAAGCCCGACAGGCGGACCCGCTCCACCTCCTTCCTTCCGCCTCCTCAGGGCGTTGCGAGTGTAGACGGGGAAAGGGGCGGGGCAGGGCTGCTCGGGC